TTGTTGTTGTTGTTATTTACTGTCAAGTCAGACACAACTCATAGTGACTCCTCCTTGGGTTTCCGAGGCAGTATCACTATGGAAAGAGATTGCCCAACCTATTAGGAGATGCTCAATGCCTTCCACAAATTTTGTTGGAATTTCTTAGGGATTTTTATTCCTAGGATAACTTCTCACTCTAATTTCCTATTATCGTCCACCTATTTTTTTTTTTTAATTTCATATGTATCTCCTGCGCCATACATTCTCTCTTCACTCAGACTCATATCAACTCAAATATGTGCAATAACACACTTTTCTTAACCTTTCCCTAGGATGTAACTTAATCCCTGTTTATTTTACTTATTTCTTGATATTTTATGCAAGCTCATTCTAATATAGATGAAGGCTCTCACTGTTAAACACACCCATAAATGTATATTAAGATATCTTCTTCCCCAAGAAAATTCTGCATTCAATGTAAATAAATATTATACCATTTCTAGTCATTGAGAATGGGAGATACTTCTTTTCGGTATTAAAATACATTCATGGGAAGAAAATGAACAAATTACCATAATCCTTAGGTGTGTATTTGTTACATTTAAGCCTTCTGAAATTCAGATGAACCTTACAATTTATATTTATATTTAAAGTGGTAGTGTCTCTTTTGATCCCCAACAGTTGTAATTGAATCACTGATGTAGCACATGATCTAATATGTCTTAAACTTGAGAAAGTATGATATTAATTATTTTTTCAGGCCCTACATTACTCTGTCATGGTTAGAAGTTTGGGATATATTTCACTATTAGGGTAATGTGACAAATAAGATAATGATAAATTAAACAAGAATATAAAACATTAAGTAGTGGATTTTATAGCAATATGTATTGACATTTTATTAATAATGTATCATCTATTAAAGAAAAATTTCCTGAAGGCAGAATGTGCAGAACAGAAATTATAGCTATAACTATAATGACAGTGAATAGTGACTCCATTGGCATTTAACAGATGTTCTATTTTCCAAGTAACAGCTGTTTGATGCATTCATTGTACCAAGTTAATGATCTGCTAGTGTTATTTCACTTCACAGATAAATTACTGTGCTCTTTTTTTTTAAAAAAAGATATGTAATTTTTCATGGGAATGATAGTGTAATAGACTTGAAACAATAAGTAATAGTTCTCATGCTTTTATAGCTAAAAGGAGTGATGAGTTTATGCAATTATCCAGATAATCTAAGACCAGAGACCAGATCTCCTTAAACTGTGAAAGGTGATTGCTTAGAAAAATATAAGACATTGTTGATTTAAGTGAATATAGGTTACATAAGACTGCTTAAAATTCATGGATTTTGCATGACATTATGCAGTGGTTCTCATACTTTGCTGGATCTTAGAGTCACTGGCCACACTCAAACCAAATAAATCAGAAAGTTTGAGGGTGGGTCCCAGACAATGGTAGTCTTTTATCCTTTCCTAGGTGATTTTAAAGTATAGCCAGTACTGATCACAACTGACAAAATGTAAAGACATATTCTATCAGGTTCCATTGGGTGGAACTTATTAAATTTTAGGCCAAAAGTGACATAAAAAGATTGACTAACAATTGTTCTTCTTTCTTAATGTTATATATTATAAAAATTT